GCTGCTAACTGGATCATTGTTGGAACTTTCGAACGTGTCAAGTGCCCTTCAATGGTGTCAAGTTCTGTAATGCGATCAAGCATACATTGTTGCAACCCTACAAATCACCTTATATGAATTCGCCTAAGCTAATAGATTTCATCTAAGAATTTACGATATTGAGGATGCAACCCTGTTGTATCTGCGAAAGCAGCTAACTTTAAGTCTTTTAGTGAAAATAAAATTAGCGGCACTATTCCGCGTACCCTCAAAACGATCAGTTGAATTTTAATTAAATATCCAGGAATCCACTTGTCCGGGCATCCAGCCTCCCAACCAGACACCAGCTAAGTTGCCAGCAGCAACTGGGGGTGTGCGAGACGGATTCCCGGAAAATTACAAAGTCCCGCAGCAAGCAAGCGACACAGCAGCGGAGCGCCAGGGCTCCTTATAAATGTCGGCGCAGCAGCGGAGCGCTAGGGCGCCCCACAGCGCGGAGGTTGCTGGTATGCCCCGCAAATATGGAAGTGGAAGTTTTCCACTTCACATGGCGACCGTGACCCATGCGGTTAACCTGGCGAAATGGCGGCCCGCGGACATGAAAAATGGGCAAATCCCAAAAATTTATAAAAAAATGTATTAAAAAAAATAAATAATAGATAAAATTTTTAATTAAAAATATATGTGGAAGCACTTAAATCAAAATAAAATTTAATTTAATTTGGTTTTTGGTGGTGGCTACGGCAAAATTATTTCTACAAAAAAAAAATTAAAAACGTTTAAATATTACAAAAAAAACTTTCAAAATCTATAAAAAAAATATAAAAATTACAAAAAATTAAAAAAAAACTTTAAAAAGTACGCATACATGTGACCAAAAAAAAGAACACCAAATAAAAAGAAAATGAACTCAATGTAAATTATAAAATTCATTACTAAATACACTGGGGCGGTTAATTAATTGGAAAAAAACTTTCAAAAAACCACAGAAAAAAAAATAAAAAAAAATCTAAAAAAAAATCGGTTGTACCAACGTTTTAAAATAAATTATAAGACTTAAAAACAAAAAATCAAAAAAAAATCGGTAGTACCAAAGTTTGAAAGCAAATTAAATAATAAATGCTAGAAAGTGCAGGGGCTGGTGGCTAAAGTGGCTTTTTAAATAAAATAAAAATACAGTGGCTGGTGGCTAAAGTGGTTTTTTAAATAAAATAAAAATACAGTGGCTGGTGGTACAAAACGTTAAAACCTTAGGTGGATAATTAGAAAAACTAATTAAAACTAGTGCGTGTGTAAAAGTACAAAAATAAAACACACGATTCAATGCGGATTTTGCAGTGCCTGTACCACCTACATATGCCAAGCCACTGAACAATAACCCCGTTACCTAACGGCGTACAAAACCACGGCACTTGCGAAGCCACTTAACTGTAACTCCGTTACAGCGGCATATAACACCACGCCACCTAACGCCATACACATACATACATATCGCTGAGCAGGGTGCGATAGTATGAGCATACATACATACATATATACTTTACAGTTAAATGTAAATTTTTTTAAATTCAATACAATTGTACACTAATGCTAATATTTTACAACAAAAAATGTTTATCCTTATACTTATGTACATACTAACACTCAAGTTACATAATTAAAATTGTCAATATATACTTTACCATATACATATGTACATACTTGTGTTACTGTTTCTAATAGAATTTCTGAACTACAGTCGTGTGTAAATTATTGGTATCAAACCAACTTTCCTTTTTTTTCATTTCTATAACTTAAACTTTTTCAGACCTACATACATTTTTGAATACAACAAACATTTCACTTACATTTTTGAATTACACTAGCGTGTAAAATGTCGCCACGCAAGTTTTCTTAAAATTAAATTACAATTTAAAAATTTTTAATAAACAGTGC